AGCTTCTAGTTAGAGTGGCTCAGGTTATCCTGAGCTATCTCTATAGTTATGCTGCTATAGGCTTAGACTTCTGGAAGACATCATTCTATTTCATCATTCTGCTTCATTCTGTCTCTATTCTCCCAATCTGCAGAATCTGTTAGTTCAATCTCTAACATTATGCTCTCTCTGCTTTTTCTCATAGTAGCTTCATCTGGTCTGTGCCTGTTTGTCTGTGATGCCATCCTGGAGATGAATATCAGCTGTGCTGCTGCCATCAACACCTTTGTTTATAGCTGTTCGAGATCGGCCTGTTTTTCAGTGTAGTCCTGTTTCTATGACTGTGACTGGCTGGATGTGCTCTCTTCATCCTCTGACATGGGAGTTGGCGTGAGCTTGTCTGTCTGCTCGTCTGGATTTGTGTTTCCTGGATGGGGCCGACTTTTACAGTTCCTTTTTGTTTCTCTGCTTCTGTCTCCTTGAACCCCAGTCGGCCATGGCAGATGGCCACTCACGCTGAGCCTGGTTCTGCTGGAGGTTTCTTCTTGTTAAAACGGAATTTTTCCTCCCCACTGTCACTACAAGCATGCTTAAGGGCTGGTTATACTCTCTGCAGCAGTGTGTCACAGTGAGCTTGATGCAGACATTTTTTATTTATGCTCAAGAGAATCAGAAACTAGCTCTGGGTCTAGATACGGCCGAGAAGGTGAGTAAGTGGGGGTGAGTTGGTCCGACAACAGAGACATGAGGGCGAAAAAAGGCGGGGATCCAGGTGGAAAGAGTGTCCCAGCGTTCTCGTGCACCTCGCTCTCTTAGCTGGTCAAACTTCACAATTTTTTTTCCCGCAATTACGGTCATAACAAAACAAGCCGGCCTCCTGTCTGTGGCACTGTCCCCTGTCACCTACAATTTGGAAGAGGTGCAGCGGAGTGTCTGTGGAGGGGGCGGGGATCAGAGTTTCTGTGGAGGGGGCGGGGATGTCTTTTTCTTCACTGCGACACACACGTAGACAACCTAGTTTCTAAGTATAAATCAGCCTTTAGTGTGAGGGATTGGATTCCAGTCAATGACTTGATGCAGTCAACTGGTTTTCCTTTGATAGAAAACTTTGAATCAATTTGACTGGATGTTCTGGTGAACTGTAAAGTGCCTTGAGATGACATGTGTTGTGAATTGGCGCTATATAAATAAACTGAATTGAATAGACTCTTCTATCCTCATTTTCCATTCCTGCTTTGAACCAACAAAGTCTTTCCAATCTTATATTAAGACAACTTGCTCAGATGGTTGAAATAACATTGAGTATTATCAATGATATAAACAAACACAAAACAAAAGCAGGATGAGAGATAAAAAACAATAATCAAAAGTTTATTTTCAATAAAAAAGTTTAACATCACAAGCAATAATATAAAAAAAATTGCGAACAACAAATTAATTAAAACATTCAGACAGGCATGAACATTAAGTAAAAAACAATTAGAAAGCTAAAAAATAAACCTTTTGTAAGAAAACATAGAAATGTCTGCCTTCTATACTGTAAAGCTTACAAATTCTCTTAAAGCACCGTGATCTAACAGCAGAAAATACCTTCTAACTCAACTTTGCAATTGGACATAGTCGACTGCTTCCTCAAAGTCTTTCCTTCTACGTAAATTTTCCGAATTGAATACCTACCTGGTGAAACATAGTATAGAATAAAGGATAAAATATTGAGTTGATATAGTGGCCTTCTCAGAAAAAATGCATGACACACATAAACACGATAAACAAGTTTTCTACAAAAGACAACACTTTATGGCCAAAATACAACTAAGAAAAACTGATTGAGAACTGCTGCTGCTAGTTCAAACAACAGACCCATGATATAAAATATTATTCTATAATGGGAGGTTTCATAATTGCTATGCCATCTTTACCATTTAACCA